ATCACATACCATAACTTATAGTTTATAACAAAAACCCTTTCATATACCATAACTTATAGTTAATAACAAAAAACCTCCTATCACATACCATAACTTATAGTTTATAGCAAAAAACCTCCTATCACATACCATAACTTATAGTTTATAACAAAAACCCTTTCATATACCATAACTTATAGTTTATAATATCAATATGTTAAAATATGTGTTTCCTATAGCAACAAATTATAATGAATATATTAAAATACTTAAAATGTTCATATATACATAATATATTTTATCTGTATTCGATATAAAGGCGTTTAGTGGGATGCATTTCTTCAAGAGAGATATTCCAATTTACTATAACATTTTTAAAACTAAAACACTTTTCTTTAACATATTTAAAGATAATGCTAAATCTACTAAGTTGTACAGGAAAAAATATGCCTATTAAAAACAAAAATATTTTCAGAACGTTATTACAGTTTAGATTACCTTTTGTCTAAATTGAAAACCTTTTGAATTTTGATTAGTTTTGGTATAAATAATACATATGTGAACATAATTTATTTCAACGCTCCAAAACTAGAAATGAAAGAAATCATATACTTATTGAAATATCTTATAATGATAAGATCAATGATTTTTAATCTGTCAAAAACTCATGTTTTATAGAACATATCATAGCTTGAACCAGTAGATTATTGGCAGTGTTACTTATAAATATTACCTTCTTCTTAAAATAGAATGTTACACCCTGGAGAAAATTAGAAACCTCTCTTGTCTGTAGTGATTCCTTAAGTTCTGTACACTCTTCTGCTTCCGAAGTTACGAACAGCGAAGAATCAGAAGAGCTGAGTCCTACCAGTCTGAAATGTTCAAGGGTTAGCCAATTCTTCTTTAGTTATGAACGGCATTAAAGGGTTCTTATTCTTGTCTTTCTTCTACGCAAATTTTAGTTTATTGAAATATGTTTTGTTTTAGGAATCAAGAAGGTATTTTTTGTCATATATATATAAAGATGCCTCCCAGTGACACAGCGGTATGTCTGCGGACTTACAACGCTAGAAATCGGGTTTCGATACCCGTGGTGGGCAGAGCACGGATAGCCCATTGTGTAGCTTTGTTGCTTAACTTCAAACAAACACTAATGATAAATATAGGATGGTCCAAAATGTTTGAATGTTCAGTGACTGGAGTAGCTGTCAGCATCATACGTATAAACATTCGGCCACATATCGCAGCCTCAACGAGGATGGCCCTTGTGTAGCTTTGTGCATAATTAAAAACAAACAAACAAACAATAAAAAATATATTATTATGGAAATCACACGGAATTATGTAAGATTATAATTTGTAATTATTATGCCATAGAACCAAAATTGATGAATAACGGATTACAAACACGTTATAAAATTGTATAACTGAACGAGTATCCTGGTATTGATTCGTAGTAGAAATGAATATAAAAAAATTAGTAATCACATATTTGATGGATCTTTAGAGCCTGAAGGCGGGATTACCCAACTTCTGGAACTTCCAGAAGCATAGATGATGTGTTTGGGAGCTTATTAGGATGAAATAAAAAAGACAAATTCAGTATTGAATTTCGAATATCACATTTTGTTTAGATTTTTCATTGACAGTGATGCACAAATGATGTTTCCGGCATGATTTAATGAAGTAGACGTTTATAATGGTTCTAGAGAGAGCTAATAAAAACATGTGTCTGTCTCTTGAACTGGTGGAGTCTAATTACGAAGATTCCTTCTCGCTTTCTTTTATAAAACTATCAGATTATATGAAAGTTGTCCAACAGACTTTCTAATTAACATGAATGATTTTGGTTATGTCCAAGCCATAACTAAAAATTCATATTTAGATCTTAATAAGACATACCTTTACAACGTATGCTTCATATTCAGATCTCACCCAGAAATACCTTTACAAAGTATGCTTCATATTCAGATCTCATCAAGACATGCCTTTACAAAGTATGCTTCATATTCAGATCTCACCAAAACATGCCTTTACAAAGTATGCTTCATATTCAGATCTCATCAAGACATGCCTTTACAAAGTATGCTTCATATTCAGATCTCACCAAAACATGCCTTTACAAAGTATGCTTCATATTCAGATCCTCACCAACGCATGATTTTAAAATGGTAAAGGTGGATGCCAGTTGCTAATTGTGGCCTAGAGAACATTTAATTTATTTGTTGTGATTAGATAATTAAAATACACATAACGTGAAAGTTTTTCATGTTCGTACTTTTGGGTTACAGGCTGGGTTCTGTTCCGAGATCTGTAAATGTAAAATTATATGGAAATTACAAAGCCGGCGGAAGTGTTCAAGAGTAACATTTAAGTTCACGTTTTTCTGAAGTCTTATTCACTAAAATAACCAGAATCTTCTTGTTTTACAGATGGAGTTACATATGAAACAAGAGTATAGTCCATTCAACACGATTAATTTATAATTGCTGAACTAAGAGTGCTAAAATATGCAATCGCTATTTTATTCATTACCTGAATGGCGAACAGCCTAAAGAGACTCGTGTGATAACTGTAGTTCAGTCATGACTAAATTCCGATTTATTACCTTTAATATTCTATTTTGGGCAAATTTTTGTGTGTGTAGGCGTATACAAGCTAAGGAATGATAGCCACTTTTTATAGAAAATCAATAAAAACAGCACTATGTTCTTTACAAAATTTCCTGCACATGCTAATAATACACGTTACCTGTTTTGGCTTCAGTGCAGCAGAAGATCTTAAATCATTGATTCACAACCAGTAGTACTAGTGCTACAAGGATGCACAAAAGGTAGAGGGGTATTCCTTAAAATAATTAATAAAAAAAAATCCCATATTGGTAAAATAAGTAACTAACTTGGCAACACTTACAGTCTCCAGGTCACTCGTCAGCCGGGGTTTGGGATACTTGACTACGTTAAACATTTGGATTTTGAAATTAGATACTTTAATTATTTATTGCATGTAGCTATGGGTGCCATCACATTTGAGTTCATAACCAGTGTCTTTGTCAACGTAGAGGCGAAAAACTTAAATTACTTTTTGTCTGACAAACTGTTTTAAGAAACATTGCTGAAACGAGCAAATATATATTTTTATACTCACATGCATAAATCCTTATTACGTAAAACTTGTGCCAACAATTATGCTTGTTTGTTTGTAATTAAGTACAAATCTACACAATGGGCTATTTGTGCTCTGGCCACCACGGGTATCGAAACCCGGATTCAAGCGTTGTAAGTCCGCAGACATACCGCTGTGCCACTGGGGGGCCATAATTATGTGTTGAAAATATTTGTGTTCCCAGCAGTAATTTTAGTTTCAGGTTTATACAGCAATACCTATATTTGAGAACTACAAAATGGTTTTATACCCTAGTAAAGAAAGATGTATTTTAAATATTAGTTTTATTGGAACGTAATAACATACATATAATTAGTATTTAGAAAAGTTAAATGTGTAAGGAGTTGTTCCTTCACATCTAGTTATTACCGAAATATTCAAATTTCAGTTAAATAGTAAGCATTTTAATTGATAGTTTATTTTGATATGGAAAAAAACAAGTGTTTTTTTATATTTTTCACTCAGATCTGTTTTACTTGAAAGTTGCAACGCATTTCACCCTTTCCTGCACCACAGTACCAAAAGCAAGGTATAATGTAGAAAAACAACAACACTACAATTCACATACAGACGAAGTCTGAATCTTAAAGTTTATTTACGAAATACTGATCTAATCATACTAGTGTTAGGTTGATATTCTAGCTAGATAACAATCAAAAAAAATTAGACTGTTTCCTGATTGTTATTATTTCTTTAATAAAAGTCATACATTGCTGAGTTGTTAATAATTATGAATGCTATTAATGTTGAACGGCCCGGCATGGCCAGGTGGATAAGGCCCTCGACTCGCAATCTGAGGGTCACGGGTTCGAATCCCCGTCCCACCAAACATGTTCACCCATTCAGCCGTGGGGGCGTTATAATGTGACGGTCAATCCCACTATTCGTTGGTAAAAGAGTAGCCCAAGAGTTGGCGGTGGGTGGTGATGACTAGCTGCCTTCCCTCTAGTCTTACACTGCTAAATTAGGGACGAATAGCGCAGATAGCCCTCGTGTAGCTTTGCGCGAAATTCAAAAACAAACAAACATTAATGTTGAATAAAACAAAAGCTCAAAATTTACGCTAGTAAATAGAATAAAGTTAAGTTTAAAGCACATATCACTAACAATAAATATTGAGTATTATTTTAACGTAACAAATATGGCATTATAACGTATTTTCTTTGTACGCTGTGATTTCAGGACACTGATATATGGAGTCCTAGTGGAGATGAATGCGACTTTCCAGAACATTACAACTTTGTTCAACAATGGTTACAACAGGAAGGTGATCAATTATTGAAAGACTGCTCTGTAAGTGCACTACAGAAAATTTAGAATCATTAGTGGATTTTTCTTTAGTTTAATTTGCCTTTTGATTGAATTATTGAGTAAAGAAAGATTCTGACGTTTCAAAATTAACCACGCGCGAAAAGAGGAACAATGAAATTGTTCATTTATATGTCTATATAGCTGTTATACATTAATGTATCTTACTAAATGATATTGGTATTCACTGTGTTACAGAAAGATGAAAAGGAAGACACAGCAGGATGGACATTCCAGCTTTGTTTAGAAGACAAAAAACAGAATGTTACTGATAATGATAAAACCACCGAGTTTAAAACAATTTCTTTCAAAAATATACCTGATAACGTTCGTGAAAGTAAAGAAAAAAAGAAAAATATAGAAGGCAATCTCAAGAATTCTTTATCCAGTCCGGTCGTTAGAAAGACGCCTTCTCTACAACACTACACTTCTTATGTCTTTACGGTTCCACCTAACAAACCTAATAAGTTCAAGGATCTTGTCGAAAGTAGTTGTAAAAATAGCCACTACCAAGAAGATTTCACAGAAAGTTATTGTGTAAACTCGAACTCACTACAAAACACCAAAAATGATGAAGCTACATATAGATCCTACTGGTCTAACGAAATAGATTGGAAACGAAATGATGATGCTACACAAGCGTGTAGAACAGTAGAAAGCTGTGGCGGATATTACGGAAGTTCTCACGAAGCACCGGTGCTTGATTCAGAACAGTTTATTGATCTTCCACGTGAAGATTTTCCCTTGGAGAAAAATACACCGAAAAGCTTTCAAACAAAAGACATTTCTGCAGAAACTAAAACGGTTCAGAATAAGCCAAAAAACAATCAGAAACCTCTTCAGGTGTGTTCGCAAATATCGAAAAAAATAGTAGAGAATGTTTCACAATCATATTCGATGGTTGATATAGAATGTGAAGAAAAATTACAACAAAATCATTTCAGTACCATGTTTAAGCAAGGGAAGTTCAATAAAAAGAAACGCAAGGTATATCCTAATATAAACAGCATTATTCATAATGGCTTCCTTAAACCTTCTTCGAATAAGAGAAATTCTAATGAATCTCTCAATAACTCAATGCATCGAACACTACCGATCACAACACAATTATTCTACAAACCCTCAAAACACCAAACCGAAATATTCCAGTTTTCACCCAACAAAAAGCAATCAACACTGCCGAGGTTTGAGAGAGCATTACTTAAGACTTTAGATCCTGTTGATCAAAATATCAGGAAACAATCACAAAGTAAACCCACAATTCCTCCAAAACCTATCTCACTGATATCTCGTAGTTCAAGAATTCCTGTTTTAGGAATTCATAAAAGCAATGAAACTAATCATAAAAAATCAGGCAGAATTAAAGTACCTATTCCTGCATTATCTTCTAGTGTTGTTTTAAAAGAAGAGAAACAGGAGGACCTAGGTTGGAATAAATCAAACAAAATGCCAAATAAATATATTTCGTCTGCTAAGAGAAAGTTAAAAAATCCTGAAAGTTACAAAATAACTTCAAATTGTTCAGAAAAGATTATTCTAGAACAAGTAGATAGAAAGAAAAGCGTAATTAATCAAAGACCTTCACCATTAAAGAACAAATGGGTAAAACCTGTAGAAAAGAAATTGAAACGTCAAACTACCGAGAAACTTTCAACGAGGTCTGTATTAAAATCATCTCAGATAAAGGAAAAATTTCCTTTTGATCAGCAAAATGCTAGTGTTGAATTAGATCCATTGGCATTTGAAAGCAGTGACTTGTCTGTAGCACAGAAAATCCAAATTCTGAACACTTTAATGGATCAGACAGAGAAGACTTCTTTCCTCAACAATTCAGCTTCTTCTGGTTTCAGAGATAACTCCCTGGTGTTTGTTCCAATGGTTAAAGAGGGAGCTAAGGAAGGCTACAGAAGTTCCTGGATTCATGTATCTACAGAAGTGGACTTAAATATCCCAAAGGTATAAAATTAGTGTTTTCCAACAACAGACAAGACTTGTTAAGGTTACTTCTTAGCAACATATTTTTAATTTGTCGTTATATCAACTAATTATGAATTATTTTCATTCCATGCAATATAACCACATGTTTCTTCACAGAGAAGAATGAACTTATGTATAAATAATCATTCAACATCTTATGTGTTTTAATTCATTCATGAACATGGATATACATATATTATCTATGGGCGTGTTTACTTCGATCTAACACTGGGCAAATTAAAAGTAATTACAAAGGTAAAATGTAATAATAACCTTGATAAAATTATTATAGTAAATGCATGTTTGTCGTTCAGTACTGCATCATCTATGTCAGGCACACTTACACAACAATAAGTTATATTTATTGTCGATTTGGATCACTAAATAATTTTAGTGTTTTTTTTAAATTTAACATGAACAAACTTTGTTGAATAAAGCCAAGATTTATGTGTAAAATGTTTTATACTGCTTCGTATAAATTATCTACTGTTCTACTCCACTTACCCCTCCCCGATTTTTACTCCAGAAGTTTAAACTTTTGCCTTGTCCCAATTATTTCTTTTATCAAACGTTTCGAGTGATCAATAGATAGAAAAAGCATTAAGATAACTGCCACTCTTGTATGTCTTATATATGCAGACAATACCTCAAATTTCCACGACGGATGTTTGTAGCAGTATCAGCAGCGAAGAGAGTGAAGAACAAGAAGAAGACGACCACCAGGGGACGGTTGGATTACAGCATCGGGGTGAATCAGTTAGAACATCATATGAACTTTTAATCAAATATCAATACAGAAAAATAATAATTTAAAATTCAACTATCATTATTACAAGTGCCCTTCAAGTAACATATATATATATATATGTAAAATAAAATATTTGAAGTTTTATGAAAGAAAGTCGAAAATGTCTTTGATAAAACTATCTGTTATTTGTTCCTAAAACTTTAAACTACTATGTTCATTTTTGAATTTATGTGGTTAAAATAAGGGGTTAATACTTAGTTATTTTGTCTTTGATTTATTCATGGCATAACTCAAAATCCTTTCTTCTATTCTCAATATAATTAGGAACCGAATTTCAAATTATAATCCACTTCTCGTGTTTTAAGAAAGAAGGTTTTGGTAATAAAATATACATGTCGACATAGTTGATTTCAAAAGACCCAGAAACTCGAGCGCATTCGAGTAATTGACTGTGTATTTTCAGAGGACAAAGGGTATATATATAGGATAATGTGGGGTAAATCTGAAAGCTAAGTTATTACTGAACAATAATTTAAAAAAACGATGCAAGCTGTCTCATTTCGTAACTGGAACATGAATAAACATAAATTAATATGCACGTCTTAGTTATCCAATTGTTCATTTTCTATATTTATGAAATACATTTGTTTGTTTTTTACATTTTTGTTCAATAGCATACAGCGTTAAAAGAAGCAGTGACGTATAATACTTTGCTTTTCAGGTTCACTCGTGAAGGATGAATCGTTAATAGAGTGTCCAGCACACAGAACGAATGAAAGGTTTTCCAACAGAAAGAAAAAAGAAGATACTTTATTACAAAACTCCAATAATGAATCACGCACGTATTATAACATCGACCTCACTTCCCCTAGAATCAGGGACATGACAGACAGTTTCCTTTCATATTTGTCACATAACGAAGATTCTTCAAAGCGAATCTCTTTCAGCGACTCGTGTGCTGAAAGTTTTTCTTCATCTACTAGAAGCTTGAATCACAGTGATTAGCACAATGTGTGTGTGTATATACAGAACTTAGGACACTAAATATTTTGGATCAAGTATATATATTTTTTATGATTATCTATAAATCTTACGGCTTAGTAAAAATAATTTTTATTCCAAAATAATCGTATAAAATCAAACCATATTAGATAAACTGAAGTTCTTAAATTAATATGTTCAAGTGTATTCCTAATTCATTGACTCTTTTATTTTATTTCAATTTAACTTGCGATTTATTTTTATTAGAAAAACTTGTATTTAATAATAAAACAACACCAAGTTTTTAGTAAAGTTGTTTAGTTTGATATGTGTAAAATGTTTCCCGCCAATTTTATTAGAAGTATTCGCGTATTTTCTTTTTAATTTAACGTTTTTTTCTTTTGAAACTGATTACATTCTGAGGTTGAAATCATGATTTATTTATATGAAACAGAAGTTTAAAACAAACAATGGCCCGGCATGGCCAGGTGGATAAGGCGCTCGACTCACAATCTGAGGGTCACGGGTTCGAATCCGCATCC